AGAGGAGGTTTCGAGTACTATGTGTCTTTCATAGATGATTACTCGAGATTTGGGTACGTTTATCTGTTGCACCGCAAGTCCGAATGCTTTGAGAAATTCAAGGAGTATCGGGCAGTTGTGGAGAAGCTTCATGGTAAATGTATCAAGTCACTTCGTTCTGATCGAGGTGGCGAATACCTTTTTGGAGAGTTCAGGACATACTTATCGGAAGCTGGGATTGAATCCCAACTGACTGCACCCGGCACGCCCCAGCAGAATGGGGTTGCAGAGCGAAGAAATAGGACTCTTATGGAGATGGTTAGGTCTATGATGAGTTATTCGAGGTTACCAGATTCGTTCTGGGGTTTGGCATTGGAAACGGCATCGTATATTCTGAACATGGTTCCGTCGAAGTCAGTTGACACTACCCCTTATGAGATGTGGAAAGGGCGCAAGCCCAGTTTCTCACAGTTTCGAGTTTGGGGTAGTCCTGCACACGTGTTAGTGCAGGAACCTGGCAAGTTGGAGAAACGTTCGGAAGCACGAGTTTTCGTAGGCTATCCCAAGGGAACGAAAGGTGGATTATTTTATAGTCCCGAGGATCAGAAGGTGATCGTTTCGACGAACGCTAGATTCTTGGAAGAAGACTATATTATGAATCATAAGCCCGCGAGTAGACTAGTCTTAGAGGAGTTAAGGGGTGAAATCGATGGTTCCCCACCGAGTGCGCAAGTAGATACATCACATAATACTGCAACACGACACACTGAGAGTGTACCAGTGCAGACAGTGCCTCGTCGCAGTGGGAGGGTTTCTCATTTACCCGACCGATGGATAGGTCTTGGAGAGTCGTCAGACTCAGTTCCAGGAGGCCTAGAATCGGACCCAAGAACTTACGATGAGGCACTCCAAGATAAAGATGCAGATTCATGGAATGTTGCAATGAAAGCTGAAATGGGGTCAATGGACTCCAATCAGGTCTGGGATCTTGTAGAACTACCCGATGGGGTACGACCCATTGGATGTAAGTGGATCTATAAGAGAAAGAGAGGATTGGATGGGAAGGTGCAAACCTTTAAAGCTAGGCTTGTTGCGAAAGGTTATACCCAGATCGAGGGTATTGATTATGATGAGACCTTTTCGCCAGTAGCTATGCTTAAGTCCATTCGGATTCTCTTGGCTGTAGCCGCTCATATGGACTATGAGGTCTGGCAGATGGATGTCAAGACAGCTTTCCTTAATGGGAACCTGCAAGAAGACATCTATATGCAGCAACCAGAGGGATTCATTGCTGAAGGTCGTGAGCATCTAGTGTGTAAGCTTAATCGGTCTATTTATGGACTGAAGCAAGCTTCGAGATCTTGGAACATCCGTTTTGATGAGGTGATCCAGTCGTACGGGTTCACTCAATGTCCGGATGAGCATTGTGTTTACAAGAAAATCAGTGGGAGCGTGGTGGTGTTTCTTGTGCTTTACGTAGATGACATACTGCTTATTGGAAACAGTAAGAAGGAGTTATCAGACGTAAAGGTGTGGTTGTCTAAGCAGTTTGATATGAAGGACTTAGGTGAAGCAGGACACATTCTTGGTATTAGGCTCATTAGAGATCGTAAGAAGAGAATGTTGTGCTTATCCCAGTCTTCATACATAGATACTGTCTTGGCCAGATTTAGCATGCAGGATTCCAAGAAAGGTATGTTACCTTTTAGACATGGAATACCTTTATCTAAGGAGATGTCTCCTAAGACGTCTAAGGAGATAGAGGAGATGAAGACAGTTCCTTATGCTTCGGCAGTAGGAAGTCTCATGTATGCAATGCTATGCACAAGGCCGGATATTAGCTACGCCGTTGGCATGGTAGCTAGATATCAAAGTAATCCAGGACGGGAACATTGGTCTGCGGTGAAGCATATACTCAAGTACCTGAGAAGGACTAAGGAGTACATGTTAGTTTACCGTGCAGACAGCTTGTTACCTCTGGGTTACAGTGATTCTGATTTCCAGTCAGATAGGGATGAAAGTAAGTCAACCTCAGGTTATGTGTTTACCTTGGGAAGTGGAGCCATTTCATGGAGGAGTGCTAAGCAGAAATGCGTGGCAGACTCCACCATGGAAGCCGAGTACATAGCAGCCTCAGAGGCAGCGAAAGAGGCAGTTTGGCTCAGGAACTTCTTAGTGGACTTAGAGGTTATACCGAGTTTGCCACGTGGTATCACCGTGTACTGTGATAACAGTGGAGCAGTAGCGAACTCAAAAGAACCTCGAGCCCACAGGGCAAGCAAACACATAGAGCGCAAATACCATCTGATTCGGGATATCGTTGGTAGAGGAGACGTTGATGTTGCCAAGATTGCATCAGAGGATGCATGGCGATAGGATCGACATAGGTCTTTTAGAATAACGGATTGATAGGACTATACTGTAAAAGCGAAAGCTTTAAGTATAAGTGGGAGATTGTTAGTGTTATATACTGAAAGCTTGGCTTTGCATGTTATTACACATTTACCCTTTATGAATGAGAATCATGTTAGATTAAACAAGTTCTACGTTCTGTTGTTCTGCACTTAGATAGGGTGGGTCGTCATCGGGCGAACCGAAGATCACTCTGTCAGTCACTTGCGAACAAGAATAGTTGTTCACAACCTAGATGGACATGAACACCCCATCCGAACGGTTGTAGTGTCAACTGTACAGTTTGTCTTGACTGATTAGTTGCACTAGTACATTTATGTATTGAACAGGATCCCAGAGAGGAGAAGTTCATTTTATACTGATCGTCGTAAATGAACTAGGCCTCGGTTAATTACTGCGTTCTCTTAACCCGTAAGATATTAAACAGGCAGATATATATAATATATATTACTTTGATTCACATGGGTGAGGTTCAGTTCGCTGGATTAATATTCCTACTGTTTTGGGTAATATTATTATATATAGGATGTGCTGTTAGGATATTTACGGTCACCATGTGCGTTAGTTTGATGATGTCCCCGGAGTGAGTTCATGAAGGATTGTTATGCTAAACCCTGCAGGTGGATTAAATTCCGGCATAATAAGAATGTGATGAACGAGCGCTAGCTTCGGTGAAATAATAATAAATTAATTAATTCTTGATTGTCAGTAATCGAATTAATTAATGGACATTATATCTTAAACGTGGGGAGGTAAATCGAGTAATTATTATTGGAGTCTCAAATGTAATTTGGGCTAGGGAAAGGGAGTGCAATAATATAATGTTGGTGGCCCATTAATATTATTTAATTAATTAGAGGAGTGGGTTTGGCCCACAGTTAGTCTAATTAATTAAGGAGCCCTTTTCCTAATCTCCTTAGGGTCCCTACTGTAGCTCTATATATACATCATTAAGCTCATGAGAAGAGAATAGAAGTCTCATTCTCACGTGAAACCATCTCTCTCTCTAGATCTCATTCGAGCTTTATCTTCTTCTTGTTGCTCCACTGGTACAAGTTGAAGAAGGGTGTATTGAGTAATACAGTAGAAGATCTGTAGGTAAACCGAGACGAAATTGATTTTGACCTACAGAACTAACCGGAAGTCCGATTGAGACGTACAGTATACCCAGACGACCGTCTCGACGAGAGCTTTCCATCGCCGCCGACGTCGCCGGAATCCGACGCCGCACGCGCCCTCACGCGCCGCCGGAAGGTGTCTGGCAGCAAAATTTCGTTTTGATCTGTTTGCATCCGTTTGATCCAGTTTTGATCTGATCTTGTTCGTGCAACCCAAGACGCGTGTTGCGGTCAATCAATTGCGGTCAACCGTTCGTGGTCAACCAGATCTACATAAATTTTAAGCCGTAAGTTCTCTACGTCAAACCTTTAGATCCGCTGCGCATAGGTTTACGTTTGCTATTGAATTCGTGATTTGTACATAACGAGATCCTCACAGATCCCAACATCTCCCTCTCTCGTTTTCTTTCGGAGGACCCTTTGATCGTCCCCGAAAGTGAGACCAACGTGCAAAAGCGTAGGGCCTTGGATGCTTGGCATCACAATGATTTCTTGTATAGAAATTATATCCACAAACGAGCACTAAGAAGTTCAAAGGGAATTGCTACAATTGTGGTAAATCTGGGCATCTTACGAAAGATTGGCGTCTCCCGAATAAAGGTAAAGATAGCGCATATAGCCGAGGATAAATCTGTTCCCATTGAATTATCTGAGCTCGATCTTACCGCCGTGGTCCAAGAAGTTAACTTGGTTAATAATCCACGGGAATGGTGGGTCGATACGGGAGCAACTCGGCATATTTGTGCGGATAAGATATGTTCTCGTCTTATACCCCTACCGATGAAAGTAAGACTAATATCCAAAAACGTATGGTCTTTGATGTTTAGCATCATAGTGATTTCTTGTGTAGAAATCTAATACTTAACGGACTGGAAAAGACATTATATAATGTGTATAGCCCGGTTAAGACGTCTAAGGAGTTATGGAACTCTTTGAAAGCAACGTACAAAATGAAAGATATCGACACTAAAACTTTTATCGGTAAATTCTTTTAGTACGATATAATTGACACAAAGTTGGTGGTTAATCAAGTTCAAGAGATTCAAATCCTTCATGATATGATAGTAGAGGGATTGATTGTGAATGTAGCCTTTTAAGTGGAGGTTATTGTTGAAAAGTTGTCTCCTTTGTGGAATGACTGCAAGAGTTATCTCATGGATAAACTCAAAGATATGAAACTTGAAATTGAAAAGTTGTCTCCTTTGTAGAACAACTTCAAGAGCTATCTCATGGATAAAAGTAAAGAGATGAAACTTTAGGATTTCATAGTTCGTCTTCAGAATTCCTATCATGCTCAAATTTTAAATGGAGAAAGAGGGTTTTTTTATTTTTTTTTAAGAACGAAAATAACATAAAGGGATATTGGGCATACAAATTATTATACAAATTGATAATCATTATACAAATTGATAATCATTATACGATCGTGATACTATATAAATTAAAATCAATATTTTATGTTGTTAAATGGTATGGTTTTGTTTTACGTACAAATATTTGTGGAAAATATATACAAGATGATTAATTGAATAACGACAATTTTAGGCAAGATAAAGTTGGAAGAGAGAAACAATAAACGCAGCTCGTAACCCTAACGACTGAGTTTTTTTTCTGGTGTCACTCGCATTTTCACAATCGCCATTTCAGATCAGCTCATTCACCTGAGCATCGCAGAGAGAGAAAGATGAGCGGAGTTGGGAAGAAGGTGGTTGACGTGGCATTCAAGGCTGGAAGGACCATCGACTGGGATGGTATGGCCAAGCTGCTCGTCTCCGACGAGGCTCGCAAGGAGTTCGCCACCCTCCGCCGCGCCTTCGATGAGGTCAACAATCAGCTTCAGACCAAGTTTAGCCAGGTCCGTCTCCTTACGCCTCCTATTTTCTGTCCCTTTTTTCTATATTTCTAGGTGTATGGTTCATTTACGATTCACATTTCGCACTCGTCGTGATATGTCGGTAACGGCTGTCCAGATCTATTGATTTTGGCTTCTTACTTTGTTTTATTTTTGGTGATGGTGGGGAGGTTCTGGTATAGCTTGCTTATCTGATTTGATTTGTTTTTATTATTTTGATTTCATTGTTTAGATCTATATAGGATGGCAGATCAATTGAGGGAATTATTTTGCTTGTGGATTTTTTTTTTTTAATAAAGTTTATCTTGTAAATCGAGAACTCTTGATAAGATCCATGTCAAGTTTGATGGAGGGGTAGAGCATTGAGAACCAATGAAAGCGGCTCTTAATACAATGGTTGAGATTGTGAGTTGGTGTTAATTTTCTGAATTTGAAAATTGAATAGGGAAGAGGATAATATTCATGTTGCAAAGTGGTATCCTATAAATGTTTTGCTGACGGGCATCACTTGCTCATCCCTACTGCCTGTTCCTTTCCTGGTTTATCAGCTGATGACCCTTTTCATACTTGTTGAAGACATGAATAAGCTGTTTGTTTCTCTTCCATGGGCTCATCCATTACTTTCGTTATATTTTTTTGGTAAACTTAGCCATTCCTGAGTGTTACAATCCGATGTGAGATGGAGACCGCAAGAGTGCAAGCTGTATAATTGGTCACATTCATTGAAACAAGCTATAGCTATCTTATTATGAAGGTCAAGAATTGTGGTCTAGAGATATGTATCAAAGGGCAGGGAAGAGGATAAAATATTGCATTGGCCTCCCAGAGTTGGACCGTGTAAACATATTTGCTGATAGGCAAGGAGTGCACATGATTAATCTTCTGTAAACATGTTTGATCTGATTATCTTGAATAAAAAGTTGTTGTACTTGTTGAAGTTAAAAACATACTTTTTGCTTTTCCTTTTCTTCCTTTTTTTTTTTTTCATCACTTGATGACCCATGCAGTATATTAACTTATACTTCTTTGGTCAGGTTAGCTGTCATGGTCTTCAATTTTTCAAATAGTTGGTATAACATCTATTTGAGAATACTCGTGGTAACCTTCAGTTCAATATGATGTCTTATTGTGAAGCATAGTTTTAACAATATAATAATCTTTCTTGACTTGTTTTCTCGTTGCAAGATTGTGATATATGCTTCCTGGACTCTAATCCTATCTGATTACGTTATTGGGTGTCTGCCAATCTTTTAAAGTACAATAATTGCATATGTTGCATCTTATAGTAGTACTATGAGGTGTATAAAATATCTTACTTGTGAGTTGTGAACTAATGAGCATAATTTGTGGAGTAGAACCATAAAACTGTAGATGTGATTTCCTACTTATATGTTGCTCACATCTTTTCAATCAATCTTAGTAAGTTAATTTACCACTCAATACTGCTTTGTTTTGTTTAAACACCAATCACTCAGACATGCTATTTAAATTTACCTGCTTTGCCTTACAAGCCACAACAAGCTCCTTTAAATATCTTATGTTGAATGTATGAGATGGTCTTCTACGTTATAACTTGTGGTTGAGCATGCCATTCTTAATTGTTTCCCTTGGCACGTAATCGAGGCCTTTTTATTTCTGTGGACTGGAAATACTTAAATGCCATAAGCTTTTAATATGCCCTTTTGTTGTACGTTTGCAGGAACCCGAACCCATAGACTGGGATTATTATAGAAAGGGGATTGGTTCTCGTTTGGTTGATATGTACAAGCAAGCTTATGACGGTAGGTGTCAGGTGTTACTTTTTTATTCATATATTTGCTTGTGGATTTTGGTAAGCAACTTCTGTCTTCAGAAACTTGTTCTCTCCTGCGTGAAGGAAATATTCTTTGATAACTACAAGAACCTTCTTTGCTGCAGAAGCAGGCTATTGAAACAGTAGCTTTTTGTTGTTTGTTATTGATAAAAAAAAAATATATTTCATTTTATTAGTAGAATATGGTGGTCTTTCAGTGTGAAAACATAAGTGTTTTTT